GCATTTCTTTGAGATCTGGGCAGAATCTAAGTTCCAATTCAGGAGACAAAAGAGGCATTTATGAGAAAAGAAAGACAATTGCATCAAATACATCATCAACACAAGGAAGGCATTTTCTAGCGTGCAGATAAGCTAACATAGTGGTGCTAATTCTGAAAATGTTTTTGGTTTCCAGTCTGGAGGTCATAATTTCCGCTTTCTTGTTATCCTTGAACAGTGTTGGGATACAGCGTTGCTTTCGGCCCAGTCCAAAGGGACATTTTGCCATTTGAACATTCCTAAGGGTTGAGGCAGTTCCTCTTGAGCTGGCAGCTCCAAATCCAATTTAAAGCGGCTCCATCCATATTATTCTCTCCAGTGCCACGGGGGAAAGAGAGGAGCAGCAATGCCCTGGGAGCTGGAAAAAGAGCAAACAGAGAGGAGAGACGGTACAACTCGTCCTAAGTGCTGTCCTGCAGGCCTATTGGGTTAAAAGGGAGTGAGCAGCTGTGTGAGATGCTCCTGGAAGCTGAAGGAAGGTAAGGGAATCTTCCTTGGACGAGACAAAGCAGTAGTTGGTGACTTTCTCATGAAGAGTTTTGCTGACACATGGAATGAAGAAGGTTGAAGGGACAATGGAGGCAAATAGAGGCATCAAGCTTATAGATTTTTGAATTTTGTTGCAGTGGCTGAAGGGACAGGGTCAAGGGTTTTATTATGTCCCTTCTATCAGTGCCAGAACCAGAACAGAGCAGATTTGTGGCTTTATATACTACTCTAATATACTACTACTAGAGGCCCAGCACACAAAATTCATGCACGGGGTCCCTCCGCCCAGCCTGCACCCTCTACAACCCAGGAGCTCTCAGGGGATGTCCTACTGCTGGCTCAGGCCCACTCCCCATGGTTCTCTGCTCTCTGTGGGCCTGGAGGTTTCACTGTAACCATGGAGATGAAGCCCCCAAGCCCTGCTGCCCCGGCTCTGCCTGCGGGGCCTGGGGCTTCCCTGCTGTAGCGCTAAGGAAGCCCCCACGCCCTGCTGTCTGGGCTGTTTGCCAGGTCTAGGGACTTTTCTGCTGCCGCCGCCAGGCCAACTGCTGTCCAGGCTCTGGCTGCCCTGTCTGGGGTGGATCAAAAACCCCTCTGGAGTCGGATCCAGCCTCACTGCTCCTGTGGACAGGCAGGACACTCCCCGAGCAGGGCTGCCATTTTGTTGTGGAGTGATGGTTCATTTGCATATTACTCTATTATTAGATAGGATTTCCAGGGAAGCCCTCTTCATATAAAGTGCAGCTCACAAGATTAAAAACAAAATTTCACAACCCTGCCTATCACCCCAATTTTCTGGTGGTCTTGGGTAGATTCTCTCCCATCCCAGAACCTGTGTTTTCCATCTCACAGCTTTATAAATGATTAGGTAATATCATTTATGTACCAATATTCTGTTCTCTGTATGATTTGACCTACACACATACCTCACATAAGTGGAATCACAGTATTCACCTTTTTGTGACTAATCTATTTCACTTAGTATCCTATGTCCTCAAGGTGCATTCATGTAAGTCAGAATTTCCTTTTTAACACTGAATCATATTCCATTATGTGTGTGTATATATATGTATATACACATGTAATAAAAGCATAATATGCTAATGAGGACAGTGGGACCTCCTTCTGGACAAAGCCCAGCGGCTGTGAGGGTGAGGGCAGGCTGCGGCAGCAGGTGACAGGGGCAGCGCCTTCCGTGATCAGCCCGGTTGCCTCCCACAGAGGGAGATCAGACTGTAGCGTGGGAATTAAGGTGTCAGTAGGAAACTCCGAGGACTCCTGGACTGTGAAAGGGAACAGGCGGGCCTCTAGTGTGTGTGTGTGTGCGTGTGTCCTTATATATCCTATATAATAAAAGGCCAGCAACATAATGGCTTGACGACCAGAATGACCGATCAACCATTTGCTATAAGGTGCATTAACCACCTCTCGGTCCTTACCCCCAGCCCGCAGGCTCCAATCCCTGGATGGCCAACAGGGAACCAGGGTGAGTGGCAGCAGGCTGGGACTGGGGACTGACGAGAGGGCGGAAGGCAGACCTCTTGGTCCCTCCCCGCTCCCATAGGCTCTGACCTCTGGATGGCACATGGGGAACCACAGGGAACAGGGGTGGGTGGCAGCGGGGCCAGACTGGGGACTGGCAAGCGGGCAGAAGGTGGTTCTGATGGCAGGCTGGCAGGATTTCCTGCACTGGGCCTCTAGCACATATTATATATATGAGGCCCAGTGCGGGAAATTCGTGCAGGGCTAGGGTCCCTAGACCTGGCTGATCAGGGCTGAGCGGGGCCTTCCTTTCCCTGGCTGCCAGCTGCTGGCTGGGGCCTTCCTTCGTTCTACACAGCCCCATAGTCAAACTCCCAGTGGATGGAACTCTAGAAGATATAATTTTCATATTAGCCTTTTATTATAAGGACTAGAGGCCCGGAGCACAAAATTCATACTGCAACCTCTCCAATCTGGGACCCCTCAGGGGATGTCTGACTACCCATTTAGGCCCAATTCCAGTAGGACATCCCTCTCACAATCCAGGACTGCTGGCTCCCAACTGCTCGTTTGCCTGCCTTCCTGATTGCCCCTAACCACTTCTGCCTGCCAGCCTCATCACCCCCTAACCACTCCCCTGCCAGCCTGATTGATGCCTAACTGCCCTCCCATGCAGGCCTAGTCACCCCTAACTGCCCTCCCTTGCCAGCCTGGTCACCCCTAACTGCCCTCCCGTTGGCCTGGTTCCACCCAACTGCCTTCCCCAGCAGGCCAGGTCCCTCCCAACTGCCCTCCCCTGCTGGCCATCTTATGACAGCCATCTTTGACCACATGGGGCAGCCATCTTGTGTGTTGGAGTGATGGTCAATTTGCATATTATCTTTTATTAGATAGGACAGAGGCCTGGTGCAAGGGTGGGGGCCAGCAGGTTTGCCCTGAAGGGTGTCCCAGATCAGGGTGGGGGTTCCCTTGGGGCGTGGGGTGGCCTGGGCGAGGGGCCTGTGGTGGTTTGCAGGCCGGTGATGCCCCCCGGCAACCCAAGCGGAGGGCTTGGTATCTGGGATTTATCTATCTTCTATAACTGAAATTTTGTAGCCTTGAGCAGAGGACAGGGCAGGCCAGGAAGTTTGACTTCCTCAATTGCCAGGGAAACCCAAGCCTCCTGCTTGCTCCATGACCGCAGTCATTTTTGTTGGGCTTTATTTATATTTTACAATTGACACTTTTATTGCCTTGAGCGGAGGCCAGGGCCAGCCAGAGCGGGCGGGAAGCTTGGCTTCCTCCATTGCTGGAGAAACCCAAGCCTCCTGCTCGCTCTGTGGCCACAGCTACCTTGGTTGGGTTAATTTACATACTCCTTCCTGATTGGCTGGTGGGTGTGGCTTGTGGGCATAGCAGAGGTAGGGTCAATTTGCATGTTTCTCTTTTATTAGTGTAGACTAGAGGCCCATTGCATGGTATTTGTGCAAGAATAGGCCACTGGTTTCACTCCCAGGCTCCATGGAGCCAGCAAGTCCCCGCTCCCCACTCCAGCTACCCGGGAGCTGGCACATTCCCTGCTCCCCGGCTGCCTGGGAGCCGACGTATCCTCATTTCTGTCTGGAGCACCATTCCAGTAGCTTCCTCTGCCGCCTCCCTTTCCCTCATAGCAGGCTTCACACCACTCCCCGCTCCATGCCTCAATATGCAAATTAACCTCCATCTTTGGGTTAATTTGCATACTCACTCTGATTGGGTGTGGGTGTGGCAGAGTGATGGTTAATTTGCATGTTTTTCTTTTATTAGTGTAGATACCACTATTCATTCATCTGAAGATAGACTCTTCAGTCCATTCCAGTTTTTGGCTATCATTAATAATGCTGCTATGAACATGGGTGTACAAATATCTCAAGACCTTGCTTTGAATTCTCACGGTAGTTGATGATCACAATTATCAAGTGTGAAAGTATTTCAATCTAAAATGGAACCAGAGAATACAAAATGGAAACTTTCACACATGCACCCTCAGGAAAAGAAAACTTAAGAATTAGAAAAGTATTTCCCATATCTGGTTTAGAGACTGAAACTTATTTCCTACCAATAAACATTCCTCAAGAATCTTGCCCAGCTGGCATGGCTCAGTGGTGGAACCTATGAACCAGGAAATCCCAGTCAGGCTTGATCCCATATGGGGTGTTCCAGAGGCAGCCCCTATATATTATATATTTTTAAAAAGACACTACTTCCTCAAGCCAAAGAATTTACTGCTTGGCCTCTGGCTGGGCTTGCCCCTAAATACAACTCACCCCAAACTTACAACGGACTGGCCTGTAGCTTGTGGCAGTTTATAGAATTTCCAGTCGTGCCTGTCTAAACTTCTTAAAAGTTTATTAAAGTCATTGCAGGTTAGCATGCAGTTTTAGAAACACATCGATCCCCGTGTGTTTCAATTTCCCCAACTGTGACCTCTTGTAAAACTACGCAGCACGGCGCACCCAGGATCCTGGCGTCCATGAGGTCAAAACACACAGCTGGCAACTCACAAATCGTTCAACAGGTCAATTAGATCTTCAAATTTATATTAAAAAGTAAGACACCAGCCGAAACCGGTTTGGCTCAGTGGTAGAGCGTCGGTCTGCGGACTGAAGGGTCCCAGGTTCGATTCCGGTCAAGGGCATGTACCTGAGTTGCGGGCACATCCCCAGTAGGGGGTGTACAGGAGGCAGCTGGTTGATGTTTCTCTCTCATCGACGTTTCTGGCTCTCTATCTCTCTCCCGTCCTCTCTGTAAAAAATCAATAAAATATATTAAAAAAAAAAAAAAAAAAAAAAAAGTAAGACACCAAAAGGCCGGTCCCCAGAGGAGCTCCCTATCACCCCTCCCCCCAACTGGGTGTGCCAGGAGGCGGGCCGCAGGGCGCCTGCGCGGGTGACTGCGGCAGAGAGGGGGGCGGAGACACAGCGGGCCGGCCCCGCCCCTCCGCGCAGCCGCAGCCCCGCCCCGCCCCGCCGCCGCCCACGGCCGGCCCGCAGTGGGAGAGCCGCTTCCGGCAGGCAGCCTCGGAGGACGCGCGCGGCGCGCCCGGCCCGGCATGGCGGGCGTCCACCGCGAGCTGCAGGAGTACCTGGCGCAGGGGAAGGCCGGCGGGGCGGCCGCCCAGCCGCTGCTCGCCGCGGGGACGGCGGAGGAGCCCGCGGCGGGGGCGTGGCTGGGCCGCGCGGGCCTGCGCTGGGCGTGGGCGCCGAGCCCCGCGGAGCCGCAGCGGGAGCCGCAGCCGGAGGCGGGCCCGGCGGGCCTGCCGCCCGTGACGCGCGCGCAGCGGCTGGCGGCGGCCGGCGCGTGCCTGCTGCTGGCCGCGCTCTGCTTCGGCCTGGCCGCGCTGCACGCGCCCGTGCTGCTGCTGCGCGCCCGCAAGTTCGCGCTGCTCTGGTCGCTGGGCTCGGCGCTGGCGCTGGCGGGGGCCGCCGTCCTGCGGGGCGGCGCGGCGTGCGGGCGCCTGCTGCGCGGCGAGGAGCGGCCCTCGCGGCCCGCGCTGCTGTACGCGGCGGCGCTGGGCGGCACGCTGTACGCCGCGCTGCGCCTGCGCAGCACGTGGCTCACGGCGCTGGGCGCCTGCGCGCAGGTGGCGGCGCTGCTGGCCGCGCTGCTGGCGCTGCTCCCGCGCGGCGCCGGCCCCGCGCTCCGCCTGCTGCTCGGGCGGTGGGGCCCGGGCGCCCGCCTCGCCCAGGCGCTGCCGGTGTAGGAGCCGGAGAGGCCGCCGCGGGAGCTGGAGCGGCTGCGACGCCCCGGGGCGCGGTGACTGCCTCGGGCGGAGCTGCCCTCCGCCCCGCAGGAAAACGTCTCCTCTCGGCTCCTGAAGACTGTTCCTCATCCTTCACTGAGAGGACCCATAGAGGGATCGGCTTAAACATTAACTTAGCCACCGGACGGCGTTAAGTACTTCCGAGGGTTCACTTCGTCCATTTTTTATTGAAATTATAAATGCGCTTTATGAGGTTTGAGGAAAGCAGAGGACCTAAAATCTGTACTGATGCCCGGCCGGTGCGCTCAGTGGTTGAGTCAAGAGACCACGGTTTGAGCGGTAAAAACTTGTTTTAAAACTTGATTTCGGAGAGGAAGAGCGCATCCATGACGAGAGGATCGCCGACCCACTGCCCGCCGCCCGCCCGGCCCCGCCGGTGCCCAGCAGGCCCGCCCCGCGGCGTGGTCTGCCCAGGCTCCGGTGCCGGCAGCCGGCGGCGCCCGCGGTCTGGACGGAACTGAGATGAGGGCCTCCTGAGGAGGAATTCTACAACCAGAGCGCCCGGATTTGATGGAAACCACAGTCAAGTGTCATCTTTATCTGCTTTTGAAGCGATTGAATTGGGCAATCCCAATGCAACGTACGATGCTTTTCACATCTGAGTTTTCCTTTTAGGTCCAGCATGTTTTCTGTGACTTGATTGCACACCTAATTCATTGCCAGAAGGTATGGGCCGAATATTCGAATGAGTCCATAAAACTGCACGGGTAGCCGCTGTGTATCAACCAGAATGGGAAATGTATTAGAATGTTAGGAATTCTGCGGTTCTCAGCTGACAGCTCCTGGAAGAGCCAAACTGCAGATCACTTCGCTCAGCCCCGGGGCGGCGGGGCGGGGCTGCTCTAGAGCCTCGATTCCCATGCTCCAGGCGGTTCCTGTTCCTCTTCCCACCCAACCTCCACACTCTGAGGTCCGAGCAGCGCTCCTGCCACCAGCGTGACACTAGTGAGGCATCCACAGGCGCTTACAGGCCACTCCCAGCTCCCCCGCCCCACAGCCTTCCTTTAAGATGACGCCTGGTTCCTGGAAAAGTAAACAGGCTTACCTACCTCAAGTGTAAAAGCAAATGCAGTTTTCAGGGAGAGGTTTATTTTTTTTAACTGGAAAATCTTGTGCTCCTGGCTGCTCTTACTACCTGCTAGTTAATCTCTAATTCTAAATTTCTCTAGAATCTTCACAACGGAAGATTTTACCACAATTAGCACATTTTTATGATGTTGTTTGTAAATATTGCTTTCCCAACCTTTTCTCAAGAATTCAAGACTGAAAATCTACCTTTTATAAAATTGAAAGCACAACATATTTCAATAGTGATGCTTTAAAATGTGTGTGTATATATATATCATAAATATATATAATGTAGAGATTTCACTTTTTTCTAATTCATACTCAAAATTTGATCTGGCCTGGCTGGTGTGACTCAGTGGTTGGCCCCAACCCATGAAGCAGCTCAAGGTTTGCTTCTGGTCAGAGCACATCCCCTGGTTGCAGGTTTGATCCCCAGTGGCAGGTGTGCAAGAGGCAGCAGATCAATGATTCTCAACATTGATGTTTCTATCCCTCTCTCCTCTTCCTCTCTCTGAACTCAATAAAAACTTTTCTTAAATGTGATCTATTCTGCTTACTGAGGTACTGTGTTTAAAAATTAAAAAGCATAAAATGTTAAGGTTTCTTACCATATTCCCAGAAAAAAACAATCCCTTTTCTGCTTCTCAGAATTGATATAGACCAGTGGAGGGCAAAACGAAGAGCCACAAACCTGAAGCAGTCTTGAGCTACCCAGTCATGTTTGCCTGCGGTGCTGACAAAGAACAGGAAATTACCCGCTTTGCCTTAGCGATCCTGACACCCTGGATGGGCGCCTGCCATTCCCTCCCTGCAGAAGTTATAGCTTTCACTCTTGCGTGTGCTGTCAACACCCCTTAGGACGGGGAGTTTCTAAGCAGCACCACCAAGTTTGCCCAGAAAGCTTGTCTCCAATGCCCAACTCCAATAAAAACTTTTCCTCTTATAAAAACAAAGTAAGGGCCACTATAGGAAGTACTATGGAGCCCTTTTAAAACTGAACATCTTGCCGGGACCGGTTTGGCTCAGTGGATAGAGCGTCGGCCTGCGGACTGAAAGGTCCCGGGTTCGATTCCGGTTAAGGGCATGTACCTTGGTTGCGGGCACATCTCCAGTGGGGGGTGTGCAAGAGGCAGCTGATCGATGATTCTCTCTCATCGATGTTTCTGGCTCTCTCTCCCTCTCTCTTCCTCTCTGTGAAAAATCAATAAAATATATTTTAAAAAAATAAAAATAAAACTGAACATCTGACATCCATTCCAAATGGGGCCAAATGTAACATTTAAAACTAAAGAGATTTGTTGTAGACCATAACTTCCTGGCTTTAAGTTAGGACTATCCTCAGCCTTATAAATGCTGGTATGGAAGAGAAAGCAATTGAAGTTTTACAAAGTTGTTTTAGACATTTTGGTCCATTCTTTTCAACTTGAACAATTTGTGAAATGATTTAAAGTCATCCAAAGGATACATGTAGTTCATTTCTGGCTTACAGCAGTTCCTCTCGTTGGAAACAAGGCAGTTCGAGTCTAAGGTGATTATTAGGAGATGCACCCACGGGAGAACCCCTGCTTGGATGAGAGTATTTTCTCTTCCTCATATAATTTTCCATCTGCCAGAATGTGTTTAACCAAGGCTTTGAATCTACTTCAACCTATGTTATAGTTTTAAGGTATTTCTCTATTACAAAAATAAGAATACAATGGCTGGATGAGAATTTAAAAACCAAGTTCACAGGTGAAACTGATTTAGACTGACAGCGGCTCCATCAAGGGTGCTACAGGGATAAGCACTAACTACGCCCTCCACAGACTGGATACGTGGAAACAGGGTTTCCTTAAGGCAAGTGCATCACAACCAGTTATTTCTGTTAATTCTTGCATAAATCATATTCTGTATTCATACAAAAACAATGTTTTTTCTCTGACAAACTGTACATATAGAAACAAATTTCCAATTGAACATAAACTTAATTTTGAGGAGGTGCTCCTTGTCTCGTGACACTTAAAAAAAATTCCAGCGTTTATCTCACAAAACAATGCAGGAGCCGGGCAGTGAGGGGGCCAGGACAGGACAAGGCCGCTGCTCGGGGCCAGCAGCAGTGTCTTCACCCGAAGACCTCGGGCTCCAGCTCAGCTGCCCCAGAAGAGTTCAGGGCGACAAGGTGCAGGCTTCCTTGTTTCTCTCGGTGAGTCCACGAGAAGTTGTTAAATACTGTCCAGAGAGGCCGGGGGAACTCACCCCAACTTCTACCGGCCCCGCCCACCGCCCCTTGAAGCCCCTCGCCGTGGCGGACCAGAGTTCATGGTGCTCCCTCTACTCCAGTTACTGCTGCTCCGGACCCCTCTGGAAGGAGGGCCGCTGCCGGGAGGGCCCCCGAAAGGCTCATCTCTGTGGTAGCCGTCATGGTGGTCTCCATCCAAGGAGCTGGAGCGCCCAGACTTCAGCACTCTTTGGGAAGGTCCTGGGCCCCCTCGGCCTAAAATGAAACATAGATTTGACATGTGACTTGTTAACATCAGAGACTACTACTAACTCCTGGTACAAACTTGTACCCTGTGGTGACAGCACAATGCTTCTGGGTCTTTCTCTCAAACAGCTCTAAGGACACGAGCACTCGGTGCACTAAGGGTTGTGCCTCCACCCTCTTCTCGACCACTGTCACTCCCAGCCAGGCCCCTTCACATCAGCTAGACCCATGTTCTGCAGGCTGTGTGACAGACAGCGGGAGGCCAGGAGACACAGCACCTTCTGGAGGTCATGGGCACGCCAGGCCTCACCGGTGCACAGTCCCTTCACCTCCTGTGCCACAGCCCTGATTTAATGGGAAGCACCTGCGGCGAGGTGGCTGCAGATGCTGGCCTAGAACGAGCATTCACTAGGTTAGCCCACAGCTAGGTGGCACTCTGATTTCCTTTTATGTAGTGAAATAAAATATTTCTTGAAAAACAAAAGCATAGGAAGAAAAATGCTAGTTTTTAGAATGGTTTCTCCCAGGGGTAGTTCTATTTGTCCTAGGCTTGGACACACAAATTTAGGTATCACTAAAATTCTGATTTAAATTTTTTTTTCTCACGTGATGCTAGAATTTGGCCACCTCTCCCACAATGCACTGTCAGAAGATTATTGACAACTCATTTTGCCTTAAATTTTTTAATGGAACTGAGTCCGGACAAGAAAAAGAGGTTAGGAAAGTTAGCCAAGGAGTAATTTTAGCTTCTTTTCTTACAAAGTGCAGCCCAACCCCAGAGGCACAGGGCAAAGAGCTGTCCGCTGGGATGTAATTTTCACACTAGCCACCGGCCTCGACCAAGGACCCAAACAGCGTGCTGAGTGCCCCTGCAGACCAGCAGCAAAGTGGGCGCTGAGATGGGAGATCTGGTGGCTGAGGGGTGTGCTCGGAGAAGGGCCACACAATTGCCAAGAACAAAAGCCAGAACTCTGTCAGGGAGACAGGTCACCTGGGTATGGAGCACATGGCAGTCTTTCCAGCAGCCTCCACACCACACCCCGCACCACAGCCCTGTCTAACCTAGCCCAGAGCTGTCATCAGCATTAGGTGGCTCCTGCCCTTGCTAAATGTTAGTGCTGCATCAAAAACAAAGATCCAGCCCAATTGAGTGGCTTAGTGGTTGATGTTGACCTATGAACCAGGAGGTCATGGTTTGATTCCCCATCAGTTCACATAATTGATTTTTCTCTCTCCCTCTCCCTTCCTCTCTGAAATTAATAAAAACATTTAAAAATAATAATAAAGATCCAAAAGTTGTAGAAATAATCTTAATGGCCCCACTTGAAAACAGCCCTTCCAGACCATTTTCCCGTCTTTGTAACTGTGGGCTGAAACAGCAGAGCCTGGGCGAGGACCAGCCCACCCCCACGCACTGCGGAGAGCGCTCCAGGGCTCCAAGCAGGCATCCGTGCAGAAAGCACCCCAACAGCGACAGTGCTGGGCACCCCGACAAAGAGCTGAACTTGAATAAAGCAGAGATTTTTTTTTTTTTTTTTTTTTTTTTTTAAGAATTTTGAGAGAGAAGAGAAGGGAGAGGGAGAAAAAGAAACATCAATGGGAGAGCAAAACGTCAATCAGCTGCCTACTGCACACTCCTCAGGCCTGTGCCCTGACTGGGAATGGAACCATGACCTCCTGGCAAACAGGGCGATGCCCAACCACTGAGCCACACCAGCCAGGGCAAAGCAGATTCTTGCAAGCAAGTGGAGAGCTGTGCAGAAGGCGAGGGCGCCAGCCTGAGTGAGCGCGCCGGCTGGCTGAGGAGTGAGCCCACAAACTGCGCCTGCTCCACACTGGGGAGCGTGTGCCTTCCCGCAGCCTATGCCCGGGAGGGAGTCAGCTGCCCTGCAGGGGCAGAGGGAACAGGCACCCCCAGGAGGGGCTGCCTGGGGGCGAGGCCTCCACAGCTCCCAGACCGGAAACCGGCCTCCACCTACCTTTGCCGCCTCGATCCTCCGAAGGACCCCCGGGGGCTTCCATTTCTCTGTGCTCAGAGGTCCCTGGCCCGTCATGCCAGGGGCGCTTTCGAGGTGGCAGGGATGCCATGTCCATGCCTTGGAGAGAAGAGGAGCGCTCTCTGCCAGCTGGGGAATGGCCGTCGTGAGGGGGATGGTCAGGGCGGGGAGCATCACGGAAATGTTCGTGACCTGGCCCTGAAACAGAAACACAAACGGACAATCTCATCATATTACAATATGACCAAAAGCAGACGGAAAAATGCTGTTAAGAATTAGTAACCATCACTCATGCAAGAATCACACCGTGAGTACATATATGAAAGGTCAAGATCAGAAATCAACCTACCACCTGAATTAAGCGGCAGGTGAGGTCCAGAAAAGTGGATCTCAAACTTTTAAGTCTCAGGATAGCTTTTACAGCCTTAAAAATTTCTGGGGACCCCAAAGGGAGATTTCATTTATGAGAGTTATAGCTAACAATATTTGCCATATCAGCAATTAAGATGGAGAAAACTTCAATTGGCCTAACTACGATTTCCAAAGACGGAACAACGCAGTGAAGAGAGTGCTGCCGTCTTGGGTCCGGCCGGCCCTGCCGAAGCGCCCGGCCCAGGGGAAGCAGGACCCCGGCCGTCTGTGCGCGCCATCCTGCTCGCCAGCGAGGCTGCTGGCTGCAGGGTGAAACGATCCCGCCTCCGTGGTGATGCCAGGTGGGAGAGAGAGAACCTGGGGGGCCTGTAGGGTCTCGGGCCCCCAGGGTCCAGGAACTGCTGCCTGGAGTCACCACAGCCCCAGGCGGTCTCCTGCCTCACCTGGCTCTCGACTTCCATCCCAGGAGTCTGGTTTCCGACCTCCTTCAAAGCGAGGGAATTCATCAGGAGTGGGAAGCAGACCCTTCCTTCCTCCTACACAAAGGAACACACCACACGCAGTGCTATTTCAGCTGCGCTCCCAGCGCTGCCCGCCCCGCCCGCCCGCGCCGGGGTCCTCGGCACACACCTCGGGGGGCGCCCCGGCCTCTGCCCCGGAGGTCTCTTCCGCGGGCAGCTTCCTCAGAAGTATCAAAGCTCTCCTCTGGACCGAAGTCTTCAGGACCGGGGAAGCCGTCCCGGCCTCGCGGGGGGGCCCGGCCGTCGTGCCTCGGGGGGGCGCCTCTCCTGAAGCTGGGAGCAAACAGCAGACCGTCACCGTCAGCGTGGGCCTGACCCTCTACATACCGCGACAAGGAA